AAGGCCAGCCTGGAATACTGAGACCCTTTCTCAAAACCTTAAAAGGGCTCAGGAGAGATCTCCGTGGCAGAAGTGCTTGTCTGGCAAGCACAAGGTCCCAAGTAGTTCACGGCTCCCTGGAACGTAACTCCCTCTACTGAGGAGAAAAAATAAAAACCATAAATGCCTCTGCCAGCGCAGGGAAGAAATGGCAGCAGCTTACGTTGGGGAAGCAGAGCGGTTGACTGCTGACGCCGTCCTAGCAAAAGGGACAGTGCAGAAACATAGCTTCTCTCTGCAGTGGACAGCACGGGAGCAGCCGGTTCATAGCGCTTATCTCAGAAGAGTTCTGCCAGGGAATGGGGCTGGACATGGGACTGGTTGAAAGCGGAAGGCAGAGTGGAAGCTCTCGTCCCACCCGTCTCCCCAGGCCAGCAGACAGCAGCAAGGTGGCCTCTCAGAGCAGTGGGGGCCCGGGGACTTGGAGCCTCAGGGCGGTGAGCCCTAGCTGAAGGTCAGCGCGAGGCCTTAACCGGAAATGGTAGGTGGAGTGCAGGTTGAATGAGTGAGACTGCTGGCCCTTTTTTGGCCAGAGATTGGATCCTCTTGGATTCCTGAAAGTTAGAGCAAGTTTAATCTCTTTCCTGAGAGTACCTGAGGTTTCTTTTGAGGGTATTGCTCCCCGCAGGAAGAGTGATCTGACATAGATACCAACGTTGAGACACTCCAGAGCCGGAAGGTGAGGTCCTGGCTGGTCACAACTTGTACACGGCTCAGACAGGGCTTGCAGTCTACGTGCTGTGTCCCTTGCTTACTGGGCAAGCTGTGTAGCCAGATGTTTGATAAAAGCCTCTAAAGAAAGACAAAGTAGAAAAAGAATAAAAAGGAATGTGGAAAAAATAATATACTTTTTTTTTTTTTCAAAAGCACAGAAATTTGAGCCTACTGAAAAAAATCAGAATAGGGCCAGGGAGATAGCTCAGTGGCGTAAGTGTCTATATGGCAAGTGCAAGGTCCAGAGTTTGATCCCTGGTACCAC